GGGTTTGTGTGCGTCTATGACTCCCTCGTGGCTCAGACCTGAAATAATCCACCTGTAAGGAGGAAGACCTGGGATCTATCAGTGGCTTGAGAAGATCCCCTGGAGCAGGGCACAGCAACCCACTCCTGTATTCTTGCCACGAGAATCCCCATGGACACAGGAGCCTGGTGAGTCCATGGGGTCACAAAGAGTCACACAGGACTTAGTGACTAAGCACATGACTCACATAGCTGTGGAGCAGAAGTCTAGTGCAGGGAACACAGGTCCTTTCCTGGGAAGTGTCCTGGTCAGCCGAGGAAGTGCAGGCCAGGGATCAACACCTGCAGAGAAAGCAGAGAATCTTCTGCAGTCTGCCCGCTGCAAATGTCGAGTCCCCTCTCTGGGTCTTGTATCAGTACTCTTGGGCCACTCTGAGTCATTTTCCAAGTGCAAGAGGCAATGGTGAGTTAGTGACCGTTGAGGATGGGCAAGCTGGATCACTGCCTCCTGTGGGACAGGGTCCCACTTTCTCCATGAGGCCTGGGGATGGCTGGCTGGGAGCATCCAGGGGCCTAGCCGGGATGGTGCTGGCTTTAGTAAGTCTTGTGAGATTCGGACTTTGCTATTCTCTCTCTCTCTCTCTCTCTCTCTCTCTCTCTCTCTCTCTCTCTCTCTCTCTCTCTCAGTGAACCCCAGTTATAGTTCTGCTGCAATTCCCTGATTAAGAGAGACAGCTCACACCTCCTGGGGCAGATGAAGAGGAGAGGGGGCATAAGACTGCATCTTGGCAGGTGGAAGGCAGGAGGGCAGCCCTGGGCATCGTTCCTGCACCAAACACCACACAGGCACAGGACGGCCTTTCATCTTGGCCTGAGGGTGCCCACGGGACTGCAAGCCACCTGGATCTTACCCCTGCCACCGCCATGGCCAGCACCTATGCCGTCCCTGCTGCTGGTCCGGGGACAGCAGCCACATCCCTCTTGATGGCTCTTGATGCCTGGCAGCCCTAGGGGATGCAGACTCCAGTCTCACTAGTTCCTGTCCGGAGGAGGTGGCCCTGCCCATCGAGAGCCTGTGTCTCTGCTTCACCTGGCCTCCTGCCCAGATGGCTCCTTCTGTGGTGGTGGTGGGCCCCACCACTCTGCCCACCCAGATCTTCAGCCTGTCCCCTGGCAGCTCCCAGTGTCCACGCTGGTGCTTCTGTGCACTACCTCAATGCATATTGTGGCTCAGCCCCAGAATGCCTTCTACTACTGCTCAGGTAGCCCCTCTTTCCCATAATCTCCAGCCATTCATTCCCATCATCCCCACCTCCTTCAGATGCATTCCTAGAGGAACCCAAATATGCACCCTATTCAGACAGGTAGAGGCAGCCCTGTGATCAGAACACTGCAAAGCAATAAAGAACCTGAAAACAACAGGGGTTTCCCATCCAGCCCATGTCTTCAGTGCCTCCATCCTAGGCCTGGCAGAGCATTTGAGTCCCCTCAGGCAACTCCTTGCTCGCGAAAGCAAGATAGATGGCCACCCACCCATGGCACCATGTGGGCACCTCATATATAGCTGGGCAAGCCCTTCAGATGCTCTGGACCCACTCATTTACAAGACACATCAAGAGTTTGACAAGAGCCTGAAAGAGTGGCTTCATGGGCACAGGGACAGTGTCCAGCAGGCTACTCACTTGACAGATGAGGAGAAATTAGGCCTCTCTTTCTTGGGGTCCCTAAAAGAGCCCTTACTGTCCTGAGACCCATAGGGCTATATTGCATATAGGGTTATCGTTACCATCTTTCTAAAGTCCATATATATGCATTAGTATACTGTATTGGTCTTTATCTTTCTGGCTTACTTCACTCTGTATAATGGGCTCCAGTTTTATCCATCTCATTAGAACTGATTCAAATGTATTCTTTGTAATGGCTGAGTAATATTCCATTGTGTATATGTAACATAGCTTCCTTATCCATTCGTCTGCTGATGGGCATCTAGGTTGCTTCCATGTCCTGGCTATTATAAACAGTGCCACGACGAACATTGGGGTACACGTGTCTCTTTCAATTCTGATTTCCTCAGTGTGTATGTCCAGCAGTGGGATTGATGGGTCACATGGCAGTTCTATTTCCAGTTTTTAAAGGAATCTTCACACTGTTCTCCATAGTGGCTCTACTAATTTGCATTACCACCAACAGTGTGAGAGGGTTCCCTTTTCTCCACACCTTCTCCAGCATTTATTGCTTGTAGACTTTTGGATAGCAGCCATTCTGACTGGCGTGTAATGGTACCTCATTGTGGTTTGGATTTGCATTTCTCTGATAATGAGTGATGTTAAGCATCTTTTCATGTGTTTGTTAGACATCTGTATGCCTTCTTTGGAGAAATGTCTGTTTAGATCTTTTAACCATGTTTTGATTGGGTCATTTATTTTTCTGGAATTGAGCTGCAGGAGTTGCTTGTATATTTTTGAGATTAATCCTTTGTTTCTTCATTTGCTATTATTTTCTCCCATTTTGAAGGCTGTCTTTTCACCTTGCTTATAGTTTCCTTTGTTGTGCAAAAGCTTTTAAGTTTCATTAGGTCCAATTTATTTTTGCTTTCATTTCCAATATTCTGGGAGGTGGGTCATAGAGGATCTTGCTGTGATTTATGTCGGAGAGTGTTTTGCCTATGTTCTACTCTAGGAGTTTTATAGTTTCTAATCTTACATTTAGAATCCACCTTGAAGGTGAAGGGTGGTGCATTGGGCATATCCTAGCCAGATCTTATAAAGAAAACTCCCACTGCCCTTGTCCTCCCACTGTCTCTTTGATACGTGTCATTCACGAAGGTCACAGCTATCAGAGAGCCCAAGGGCCACTGTGCAGGTTTTCAGGGAAGTTCCATAATGTTGCTGGCCAAAATCTTGGTCTTCTCTGCCCACAGAAGGTAAATAAAAATACAGAGACAGAGTGGGCAGGCAATAGAAAGATGGCTTTAATTCTCAGCCAGCAGAGAGGGGAACAAAGTAGGCTCATGCCTCAAAAACTGAGTCCCCTGTCCATGAGGAATCTAGGGGCTGATATAAGATGGGAGCTCCCAGTCAGGAGTCAGTGATGAGGAACCAAGGAGTTAGGATCTTGATTTATTTATCTTGAATTGTTTCAAAGACAGTCATAGACTGGCATCAGTAACCCAGTAATTGAGCCTGGCAGTTCGGTGACTCTGTGGCCTACTTTCTGATATGTAACTACAAGGGGAAGGGTGTTGTAAGGGTAAACACCAGACACATGGTGTAGTTAGCATAGATTCAAAGAAAAATAGATGTGACGTATAGCTCTTGTGGGCTTCTCTGGTAGCTCAGCTGATAAAGAATCCACCTGCAATGCAGGAGACCCCAGTTCGATTCCTGGGTTGGGAAGATCCACTGGAGAAGGGGTAGGCTATCCACTCCAGTATTCTTGAGCTTCCCTTGTGGCTCAGCTGGTTAAGAATCAGCCTACAATGCAGGAGGACTGGGTTGGGAAGCTCTTCTGGAGAAGGTAATGGTTACCCACTCCAATACTCTGGCCTGGAGAATTCCATGGACTATGCAGTCCATGGGGTTGCAAAGAGTTGGACACTACTGAGAGACTTTCACACTTTCATAATTCCTGTAGAGTTAGGGTGCAGAAAGGCAAACCTTAGTTACAGACATGTAGAGTTAGAAGCAGTTTAGTTAAAACAACTAGCAATGTTAAGTTCTGACCACAGGAAAGGGGAAAAAAACAAAACAAAAAAACCCCTCATTCTTCTTGCTTTCCTTTTCACTGTAATGCTAACACCCAGCTTCATGACAATCACCTCCCACAGAAGGAATCCAGCTTTCAAAAGCCCCAAACTACCCTGCCTCAGGCACCAAGTGTTCCTTCTGGTACCCCACCACCTCGCACCACGTTGCCTTGTTGTGTGTGACTAGGGGATGTCTCTCCACCTTCCTCATGTGACTGCAGCTCCTAGACCATCACTCTAGGTGTGGGGGTGTTCTGCTTCTCCTACTTTCCCCATCGCTAACATGGCCTTTCACAGAGCAGAGGCTTCATGAGGTTCTGGGTGAGAATAAGCCAGTGACCAAGGTACTTATTAATTCAGACCAATTGTATTCTAATTTCTTTAATAACTAATGCAAATCCAACTAAACATAGATACATTTTAGGTTTATAGAATAACAGATAACATAGATTTTAGAATTAGCTTTTATTTTTGTTCTCTATTTCCTTTTATCTTTTCCCCCATGCCCAGGAGTTTTGGGGATCATAGTTCCCCAACCACGGATTGAATCTGAGCCCCAGCAGTGAAAGCTCTGAGTCCTAACCACTGCATTGTTGGAGAATTCCCAATTTCTGTATTTCTTGACTCCATCAACTTTATTGTTCTTTCCCATTTCCAAGACAATTCCTATTCCAGTGAAATGTTAGCTTGTTCCGGGTCACAAAATAAAGTAGGAGAGTTCCCAGTGTCCTTTACAAAACAGCAAAACTCCTATCCTTAAACTGAGTAAGTACCAATACACGTGTGAGCCCTGTCTTTCACAAAGTTATATATTGAAGTTTATTAAGCCTTCAGCTGAAAAAAATATTGAAAAATTCCTAAAGAAAACAAAGATGAATTTCCATGTCAGTGTGGAAAGAAGGAACCCAAAGATGCTACACACCATGTCCCCCCAACTGGCCCAGGCCCTCATGAGGGAGAAGGCTGGCCATCCCTCTTCAATCACAGAGGGAAGGATCAGCCTCCTTTCCTGCCCCCAGGACACACTATTGGGCATAGGATTGGAAGGAGCCTGGCTACTGCTCTGGCTCAGGGCCCCTCTTCCTCCTCCCTTGCAGCCTCTGCAGATAGGAGGGGGCAGGACCTGGGATCACCTTGATTGATTTTGAGCAGATGCTCTAGGACGTGCCACTTGCTGGTCTCTGCATAGGCCCGGGACCCCACAGGAACTCGTAGCGAGCAGGGTCACTGTGGGGTACCTACTGATACTCCAGGTACCCCTCCTGAACCCCCCTGGGTCAGCACAGGGCTGACCCACAAATGTAGTGCTCCCTCTTGACATATATGCCCATGTCATTCAGGGTTTCCCAGATCTCCTCTTCATGGGCACAGTTGCCCTCCAGGAGGATCATGCCTAGGACCACCACCAGGTTGCTGGCCTTGGGCATGCTGTGCCCATCACTCACCATCCCATTGCAGGTGAGGCCCAGGGTGGGGACTAGCACGAAGATGTGCTTTGGGTGATCCACCTTCCTCACATCCATGCTGAAAACCAGCTGTAGGCACTGTGAGCCTTGGTGGATGGCCTCAGGGAAGTGGTGCCCGTCCTCTCTGAGGACCATGTTTAGGATTTCATCCTTCGTGGTTGGATCTTTGGTGCAATACTTGTGGAACAGGAAGCCCACCAGCTCCACCACCAGCAGATGCAGTGGGTCTGGGTGCATGGACTTTGCACCTTCCTGGTCCCGCCAGGTGCTCGGCTCCTCCTCATCTTGGCTTCTGGAGGCCTCATCTTTGGATTGGCTCCATGGAGTGGCAGCCATGATGGGGGGTAGGGGAAGGGAAGGCACACTGAGGGCTCTGGGTGGGGTACTGGGTGCTTCAGCGTCAGCCAACTCCAGCTCCTCCAGGGTGACCAGGAAGAGGACAGAGGAGGAGGAGGAAAGCAAGGAGGAGGGGGGAAAAGGGTGCAACCTCCTCCTCCTCCTCCTCTACCTCTACCACCACCTTCTCCTCCCCCTCCCCCTAAATGAACCGTCCCTCCACTGGGCTCTCAGCCTCCCTTGGGTCCTAAAAGTTGGCCTCACTCTCTTCGTGGAACTCGCTCATGGAGGGATGATGACTGGGATCAAACAACAGCCAGAAGTGAGGCAGGGGGACAGATGGGGACCACAGGCATGCAGGAGAGAGGGGGTGTGAGTTGCCTCAGCTGAGAAACCCACCCCAGGCAGTGTGACACAGGCCACTGACAGGTCTCCTCTTGACGGGTGCTCTCGAGCCTCACAGGGATGCTGCTCCTGGGCAGGCTGTCTTCGGCTAACACAAAGGAGGAAGTGAGGTGGCTCCCAAGGGTGCAGTCAGCACAGCCCGATATTCTGGGGCTGATATGGTGGGGGGAATTGGGCCTTGTGGGGTACTGTCTCTTCTGGGATGGTGAGCCCCTGATGCACACTCAGGGCTCCCACCTCACCTAGATTCCTTGCACTGCCTGGACCTCCTCTGATCTGCAACCTGCAGACACAAGCTTCAGACCTGGACTTTCACCTCTGGGTTCCTGGAGCCCCTGTGAGAGGAAAAAAGGGGGCACCTTGGCTTGTAGACTGTGGCATGGCACTGGGCCCCTCAGTGATGACAGGAGGACTGGGCTGTACTCAGCGAGGTTCCCCCTGTCCTGAGGTGAGTGGTCGCCCCTGTGCTCACAAAGGGCCCTCCGCTTCCTCCTGGCAGGGTCTGGGCCCTCCTGACTATTGTCCAGAGGCAAAATTCTCAAGACACATTCCCTGTACTGAAAGGGAGAAACAGAGGGGCTCTGAATACTGGTCAGGCCTGCCCAGGGGCTAACAGGGCTCACAAGGGACAACAAGGGGTGGCCAAAGCCTATGGAGTCCCTCTGTGCTGGGACAATGGGCAGTCGGCTCAATCTCCACCTTGACACCCTGGAGGGCTGGGGCAGTGCCTTCTGTTAACTGTGACCCATCTCCTTAAGCAACCGCCTTAACATTCATGACAATGGAAGTGAGAGCAGCAATGAACCCACCTCTTCTGGGTTACCCCAGGGTGACGACAGGGGCAAGGCAGGCTGGGCTCCAAGTACTGTGTGTGAGGAGGGGTCTCCCCAGTGCTCCCCCTGACCTCTGAGAGGGCCTGAGGCCAGACCCTCAGAGGAAGGCCCCCTGGCCTTGACCAACCATCTGCCTGAGGAGGTGGACCTCAAGGCTCTGATGGTTTCTTGGGCTGGCAGGAGAGATTTCTGTGGCCCCCTGTTTGTGGTGGGGGTTGTGGTTCCACACTCCTCCACAGGGTCTTCACCTTGACTCCTGGCAACTCCAGGACTCCTCTTGCTGCTGAGCAGACATGCTCCCCAGATGGCTGCCCTGGAGCCGCCCTCCCCCTCCAGGTCCCCTCCGCAGCAGGTGCTCCCCCACTCCACTACGCAGGGTCCCAATTGTCCTGTGGGAGGCTGACTCCTCAGTCCATCCTCAGGACCTTCACTTTGATAGCCGTGCAGCCTGTCCTGACCCATCCTGACTGATTCCCAACGAAGCCCGGACCCGCCAGAGTCCCCCAGAGACCCCCCAAGCATCTTGGCAGGAAGAGTGCATCACCCCGGCCTCCGTGCTCGGCTCCCACAGCCCTGCAGGTGGGTTCCCTTCTCTCTGAGCAAGGGACCTAGCAGTCCTCCACAAGGGCAGGCTCAGGCCTTTCCTGCCAGGCTCAATCAGGGGCCTCTCAAACTCAGCCCCATCTCCCGGAACCACAAGGTGCTGCGGTTGGGGCGGGGGGGTGGGGGGTGTTTCCTAGTCCTGCTCCAGGTCCTCCTTCACTGTCTGATGGAGTCTGGGCCTCTCCCTCTGCCCACCTAAAGCCTCCTGACCCCTCAATCCAGACCTTTAGCTGGTCCAAATGGAGAGGCTGCCCTCAGGGGGGCGGCACCTGGAGCCACACACCCAGGCTCCAGGGTAACAGCAGGGGCGGAGAGGTGGCCACTGGGTTCTGGAGTGCGGGGGCCAACTCTCCCTCAGGGTCTCCACTTAATGTCCCTGCAGAGCCTGAGTGGCCCGTCTTCATCCAGATAGGCCACTCCTCACACCAGGACCCCAGTCTCTCTAAGCTGGGACACAGCACATTTGCTCCTCTCACTTGGAGGTGTCCCAGACCTGGAGGCAGGGGCAGGTTTTTCTGGGGCCACTTCTGTTCTGGGGCCCGGGGCCCCCAAGTCCTCCCTCAGCATCCTCACTTTCACTTTGGTCCCATGTAACCCTCCCCTCTGCCCACCTGAGTGCCCACCCCTATCCCAGGCTCCCAGTCTCTCTGGGACCCAGATGAGGAAGTCAGCACAGGCTGCTTATCTCGCCCCACGGCCTCCCACAGCTGAGGGCAGGGCCAGTTTCTCTGGGACACTCCACCCTCACCCACATTCTAGAGCCCAGGGTCTTCCCAGTGCACCCTCAGGTCCTCACTTTCAGTCCCAGTAGTCCCTAGGCTTCTCATCTGCCCACCTGAGCCCCCACTCCCACCCCGTTGCACCAAGTCCCAGTCTGGCTGAGACCTAATGCGAAAGTCAGGACACCCTGCCACGTGCTCCTCTTCCTGGGGCCTCCCAGGCCTGACAGCAAGAGTGGACTTCTCTGGATACCCAGCTTTCCTACTGCCCCACTTTTCAGGGCTCCGAGAGCCCTTCACTGCTCCCTCTGCTCCTCATATTGGCTCCCTTCAGGACCTGGGCTCCTCCCTCTGCCCCACTGAATCTTCTGCCCTGAGACCCAGGCCCTCCCCCTCCGGTCCCCATTCCAACGAGCCCACTCGGGATCTCCCAGGAAGGACACAGATCCTGTGGGGTTCTTAATCCTCCCTCAGGCTCCTCCCCTGACCCCCCATAGGGCCTGCTTCTTTTCTGCCTGACTGGACCCTCCTCCCAGACCCAGGCCCGCACTTTCTCAGACCTCTGAGGCAGACAGAAGTCGGGTGACATCACGTGGGGACCCGTGGCTTAGGGACTTCCGGGGCTGCGCTGGGAGTGGAGCTGGATTCTCTGGGCCCCCTGGGAAGATGACCCCTCCCCAGAACCCACTCCTGAGGGTCCTCACTTGGGAGACCTTGAGGAAATGCTGCTGCAATGGACTCCCTCCCGGTCAGGTCTGCGCCTCTGTCCAGCTGCACCCGGAGCACAGAGTGACTCTGCATCCCAGACTGGAAGCTGGGTGGGGGGCGCAGCACCCCTGACTGTGGAGGAGGGTCCCAGAGGAAGCACACCTTCCAGTGTTGCCTCTCTGCCTGCAGCCAGACTTAGTTTGTTCTAAGATTCCTTCTCTGCAGGGAAGAGGTTGAGCAGTGGAGTCTGCAGAGCTCTTTTGAATCAACTTTTCTAACTTCTTATAGTTCAGAGCACTGATTTTCACTCTCTTAAGCCACAGTCAGAGTCAGAAATATATATTTACATCTTGCCAAATTTCAGGAAAAAACATCCACTCTTATGCTGCCTGATTCACTCTGATGCTCAATGCTATTCTCTTATTTCTAGTCCGATCTTGATCTGCTATTTAAAGCATAAATTTCAGAAAGACCAGTTCTCACCCTAAGGTGAGGTGATTTCAAGTGGTTATTAGCACAGACACTGCAGCCCTACTGGCTCAATCATTCCATTCTTTGTGCTGTCCTGATCTTACCCTGTAGTTTCTGGCATCTGTGGCCTGAGACACAGTCTCCCAATTTACACAATAAAATATGGGCAGAAGCTTAAACTTTCCTGTTACCCATCCTGTCACCTGCTTCTATGCAGGCTACAGCTATATAGATATAAATACAATTTATTTCTTTCACTCTCCCTTCTTAGTTTCTCAGGATTTCTTTGGGGAACAGAAGACAGAAGCGCGATTGTCCTTTTGGTAGATAAATTTATAGCACTAATCCTGTAAGTCTATAAAAAATGAGAATTGATATTGTCACAGAATTCTGTTTCCCATCACGGATATGTTCTACTGATCTATTTATTTGGGAGCTCTTGAACCTGAATCTACCAGTAAGCTTGTGTAATGCCTCCATAAAGATCTTGTCTACATACTTGTTAGGATTTTTTTAAGATAACTTTTGCAATTTATTGGTATTAAAATGAGGCATTTTCTATTTCCTGTTCTACATATCTATTGCTCTGGCAGGGTAAAGCACTTGCTTTGGCTATGGTAATATTCCACCCCCTATTTTTCTGAACTCTCTTATTCATTTGACTATTCCAAGGGCTCATTTCTTTGAATTTGCTAGATAGATGATCATTTTGTAATATGGAATATTAATTTTTCAGTATGCATTTATATTGTATAATATAAAGATATTATATTTATATAGCTCTGCCTTTCTGTTTCAGGGCAGCTTCAAAATTTAAAAGGGATAGATAACATACTTCTAGGACTTGTCCCTAGCAAGAACGCTTCTAACATTTCACATTGCTGTATGTTTATATATGTGTATATATGTATACATATACATGATTTATGTATGCTGTATGTTTATATATGTATGTGCACACACATATATGTGTATATACAGCTATGTATTTATAGTTATTTTAAGTTGCTAATTTATTAAAATCAAATGTATTTTAACAACACTGCATTGTACTCTCTGCCCCATGTTTAAGGGTTTGGACATGTTCTTTTGCTTTGTCTATCCCTCATCTACTTTTTTGTGGATATAGATGATTTTCCATTTATCATTTGTCCTTCATCCACGCTTATATGTGGTTGACTATTGCTTTCACTGTTCATTTGCTTTTTCCAATAAGATTTCCCTTCAATTTTCATAGTCATAGTTGTGGCCTGTTCTTTTC